AGGCTGAAAACCAGAATCACCATCCAGTTAAAAGCTTAACTCCAGGGGCCGGAGCAATACTCCTACGAGTAGGGCATTTGCCTCCATGGGGCTGACCCGGTTTTGCTCTCCAGCATCCCATATAGTCCCCTGAGCACCACCAGGAGTAATTCCCTGAGCATCGCTGGGTGTGATCCAAAAAAGGGAAAAAAAAAACCTTAACTCTAGCTGTATCAACCTATTAAAAATTTTAGAATTCCTGGAGCAACTTCTCATACTCTACTGATATACAAGGAGGAACACACCACATTGAATGGGGTGTAAAGTAGAAGGAACTGATCTCAATTAAATATGTATATATATTAAATATATATAAATATATGTATATTTATTTAATTTATTATATAGATATATAAATATACATATAAATATATGTATATTTATATATCTATATATAGATAGATTTATAGAATCTCCTATAAGAATCTCCTGCCCCCATGCCAAGCTGTCTTCACCAGGGCCGCCTTGGAGGGGAGTGGGTTGAGTTTCCCTGCCCACCCCAAGCAGAATCCCGGCAGCCGAAAATCTCCAGAACCCCGCCACAGCCATGCTCAAGGCTGCTCTCCACACGCTTGCATGAGCCTCACCCATGAAGGAGCCAGCAGAGGAACCCAGGTATGCAGGACCCGGGGCTGAGATCTCCAAGCCTGCTTGGATCGGGACTGGGCCTCCTCAGCCAGATCCCCCGTTTTCCAGTAGCTTGGCAGTCACACCCACAAACTTCCCCCAGTGCCATGTAATCTCATCAACAGCCAAGATCCAAAGACTATAAAATAAAACTCCCGGAAGAGAGCGATGCAATTTTTCCTCTCAGAGAGCCCGGCAAGCTACCGACAGTATCCTGCCTGCACGGCAGAGCCTGGCAAGCTACCTGTGGCATATTCGATATGCCAAAAACAGTAAAAATAATGGGCCTCATTCCCCTTACCCTGAAAGAACCACCAATGTGGAAGCATTGGAAAGGAAGAGTAAGGAGAGGTTGCTAAAATCTCAGGCTCTTTGTGTTCCTGGAGTGAGCAGACACCATTCGGCTACATTGGGCTACACTAACATGTGACAGGAATGAATGGAGATGTTACGGGTGCCCGCTCGAGCAAATCGATGAACAACAGGATGACAGTGATATGTGTGTGTGTGTGTGTGTGTGTGTGTGTGTGTATCCATTAGCACACAAAGCTCAACCTGTAACACAGCATGGTAGTAAAATCTCTTATGCAAGGGCTTAATGGCTCCAGGCTGAGATACAACAATCTTCACGTACTTTCTTCTAAGGAAACTTTTTTGAATCATTTTTAGTGGATTATTCATAACAAGCAACACAAAATAAATTATTTAGGGCTTCGATTGGGGCAGACTTGGGTGGTGGTTGGGAAAAAATTGAAATATTGTTGGTGGGAAGGTGTAATGGTGGTGGGACTGGTGTTGGAATATTGGACATTAGAGCCAGGAAAGGGGGACGAGCTCTTGCCGTGCATGTGGCTGACCCAGGTTCCTCCCCCAGCACCCCTGAGCTGTACCCCGGGCGCCACCCTGAGTGATACCTGCACTCAAAGCCAGGAGTAAGCTGAGCACAGCTGGGTATGTACCCCATTTTATTTATTTATTTATTTACTTATTTTTGGGTTTTGCCAGGCTTTGCCATGCGGGCGAGATACTCCTGGTAGCTTGCCGGGCTAGGCCACACTTGCCAGTCTTAGGGCTTACTCCTGGCTCTGTGCTCAGGAGTCACTCCTGGAGGTACTCAGGGGACCATTTGGGATGCCAAGGATTGAACCAGGATCAGCTCCGTGCAAGGCAAACGCTGTACTATTGCTCTGCTCCACCCCTATTTTTTTAAATAAAAAAATTGAAGGATACTAGTTGAGGGTTGCTAATACCAGCATGGAATATGGGACTAAGAGTATCTCAGCCGGGAGCCAACCGGAAGGAGACACTGAGTGTGGGGCTGGGCTGGGCTCCTCATGGCACCATAGAAACAGCAGCAAATAACATTTTCAAATGACACACAGCTACTCTACTTATCCACGTGATGCTGGCCCTGCTTTGGGATCGGGGTTGGACCAGGGACGGCCTCTCCTCAAACCGCTCCCTTGCATGACTTGGGGGATACTTAGATAGTTAGAATACTGGGGGTTCATCCTGCCACGGTACTGTTACCCCTTGGTTGGGACCCCCAAAACAGCAGAGGTGGAAGGGAAGAGTGGAGGAGAACTAGTTCACTTGAAGAACTAGTCACTTGAAATCTTGCCTAAAAGGGATCCAGTCAAAATAGAGAATCAGTGGCTGGGAGGTAGGGACAGGAGCAGATGAAAGGAAGCCTCCAGTCAGGTAGCAGCGATCTTCCTGCACCCCTCCTCTCCCTCGCTGCCTCCCTCTCTCTCCCTCTTCCCTCTCTTCTCTTTTCCTCTCTCTCTCTCTCTCTACTTCCTTTCTCTCTCCCTCCCTCTCTCTCCTCTTCCTCTGTCTCCCTTCCTACTTCCCTCCCTCCTCCTCTCCTCTTCCCTTTCTCCTCTCCCCCTCTCTCTACTGTCTCCCTCTCCCTCTCCTTCCCCCTCTCTCTCCCTCCATCCCTCCCCCTCCTTCTCTCTTCTCCTCCCCTCTCTCCCCTTTCTCTCCCTCCTTCCTTCCCCTCCCTTTTTCCCTCCCTTTCTCCCTCTTTCCCTCCCTTTTCCTTTCCCTCCCTCCCTCCCTCCCTCCCTCCCTCTTTCTTTTCCCTCTTCCTCTCTCTGTCTCTTCACCGCTCACCTGTACCCAGACAGACAGCCCTACAGAGGGATCTCACCTGCATATCTTTGGCTGTGGACAGAAACTCAGGAAAGCGAAGGGGACAGGGAGACACTGGGGTACAGCCCTAGAGAGGCCCAGTGACAAGTGACAGAGCAGCAGCCCCAGTAAAGGGACACATGTGACAGGGGTCCAGCTGAAGATTACAGACCAGGAAGACGAACACGGGAGAGAGAATAGCACAGGGACCAGACCCGACCAGAGTACGCTGGTGTGGGGCACGCAGTGAGAGACAGGACTCAGGAGACTGCACACGGCTCTGGGCATTGAGGCAAAGGGCAGGCAATGCCTATGCGAGTGGAAGGAGAAGCCTGGGCCAGGGGGAGACCTGGACCATCTCCTTAAACTGTACAACAAACTCAGACTTCTTCAGCTTCTGAGTTTCTTTTCTTTTCTTTTCTTTTCATTTCTTTTCTTTTCTTTTTGGGTCACATCCAGCGATTCTTAGGGGTTACTCCTGGCTCTGCAGTCAGGAATTACTCCTGGTGGTGCTCAGGGGACCATATGGAATCCTGGGAATCGAACCCGGGCTGGCCACGTACAAGGTAAACGCCCTCCCCGCTGTGCTATCGCTCCAACCCAGCTTCTGAGTTTTATCTGCAAATCTTTTGTACAGTTCTCAAGAATCCACAAGTGCAGGAATAAACCCGCTTGAGTGCTAACAACCCCACTGAGCTCTGCAGACTGGGTGGTCTCGCCACTGACGCAAACCATGCGCAAACCTGGACAACGATTGGCCAAGCTGGTGGTATATCAGCTTTAAGCAGCACCAACACTGGTATGGAGCAGATCCCCGGGCGCTCCCCGAGAGCTGAGGAAAAGCACTTCACTTCTATAAATATTTTGGAGAAACTGTTATTTTCAGAAAATGCCCAATTACTATCAACATTTTAATTATGTGCTTTTTTTGTTTGTTTGTTTTGAATATATCACATGATTGGGAACTTCGAAAAGTTATTTTAACTCCCCAAAGCTCATTCACCTTATTAAAAAGAAACGAAACAAGTAAATTCTAATACTTTTGGTAGTGCTTGCAGACTGTTTTTTTCTAAAGCTCATGCACAACTTTGTTGAAATATTTCCTTTCTTCAATATACTCCAACACATTTATGGCTAAAAAAAAAAAAAAGCTGTTTCCAAACCATGTTTATTAAACAATGAACTATGCTGAACTACTGAATTTGACCCAAACACTCCAAGAATCTTGATGGTTCATATAGTATTTCTCACGGGGTTGGTTTGTTTTGTACACAGGGACCAATCATTTTAAAAAGTTCACTGGATGGGGTAGGGGGGATGGGGGTGCAGAAGAGATAGTATAGAGGGCAGGGAAGGCCCTTGCCTTGCACATCACCAACCCAAGTTTGATCCCCAGCACCCTATAGAATCCCCCGAGTTCCGCCAGGAGTGACCCTGAGCACAGAGCCAGGAGTAAGCCCTGAGCACTGCCGGGTGTGGTCCAAAAACCAAACAAACAGAAAAAAAAGTTAGCCAATCTGACGTGAATGCTCATCGAAATGTAACTGCTTTTTAATCTTCCCATGTTTCCTCGTGAGCGATTGCAAATAGGCAGCAAATATAATACTGAGTAAAAAAGCAAAGAAACTCCTTGGATCTCTTTTTCAGTGTCTCTGCTCTGCAATCACCATAAGGGAAAGAGACAGGCGGCAGATTGCCTTTATTTAATTACTATTTAGCCTTAAAGACCGGCAGGAAAATATAACCAGATGTTTTCAAATAGAAACAAGAAGTCGCGAGGCCAGGGAGATATCTGTTATATAATATTAGCCCCTCTGAGTTTATCTATTTAGGGACACAGTCAGAAGCCCATTTTATTCTTCGCTTAATGCCCTGAAAACATTTCCTTTTAAAGGCAAAAAAAAAAAAACCCTCCCCCAAGCCACCCCCCCCCCCCCTTAAAAAAATGAAGAAACCACCAACAACAACCCAGTAAGTCACAATCCACATGCCTGGCAGCCTTCAAAAAGTTCTGGAGGAGGAGAAATATCACCCAACAGCGTCCAGCCTGCGTGGGAAACGCAACAGCCACAAGGTGACCCCAGTAGGGGCCGTCCAGAACTTTCCCTGACGTGCACCAGGAAAGCTGCCCCCTTGCAAAAACCTGTTGCTCACAACCAGAACCCGCGTTTCCAAAACAGAACCGAGAAGTGACTTACATCGCGGGGCGAGTCCCGGGGCGAGGCGAGGCGGGTCTCCCTCCCAGGACCGCTGCAGCAGCGCCCAGGCGTCCAGGCGTCCACACAGCCTTCCCTCCGGCTTTGACAGCTGGTTTGATCTGCAGCGCTGGATGGAATGCGCTCTCGCGCTTGGCGGTGCTTTGCAGTTTGCAGAGGGCCGCTGGCCCCGGCTGTGGCCATGGCAACCAGGAGGAAGCTGCCGGCCTACACGATTCATTAACCACGCAGCCCAGGGAGAGAACCTGGCCGGCCGGCCGCGGGAGCTGGCCACGCTGGGCTGGGGGAAGTGGGCTGGGGTAGGTGTCCCCTAAGCTGAAAGTTTCTCCAAGAAAAGTAGGAGACTGGAGTTCTGCAGACTTTCCTGGGAAGGACGTGGAAGAAAAGTCTCCATTCATAGCAAAGGAAATGGATTCTGGAGCCCAAGCGCGCAGACCCAAGGGTGATGCATTTTCCTTCTCTGCGTCCTTCTTTCCCCCTGGACGGTGGCTTCCAACCACAGCTAGGCACTGCCCTTTGCTGGTGGTTCCAAAGAGGAAATGAACCTGCTTCGTCACCAAAGATGTGGTCTTAGTCTTGTTCTATTTTTTTGGTTGTTGTTGTTCTTTTTTCTTTTTCTTTTTTGAAGATGTGACCAGTCACCAAGTTACTTAATATGCAGAAATCATGCTGGGTTTATTAACGGATGTGGCCCCACAAAATACTGAAGAAATCAGAGGGTTGGAAGAAAGCCCTGCTAATTAGAAACAGCAGAAAACTGGAGTAATTGATTTGTTGAGAGCGGCAGGCACATTAGCTAATATTTGACACAGAGAACCTGGTGAAGGAAGGGGATTCATGTATTTGTTATTCCTCCAGTTGCTTTTTCTGGCAAATCTGCTCTTCCCCCCGCCCCCCGCCCCCACCACCCTGCACCCATATGCTCCAGGCCAGGAACTTTATGGGACAGCAGAGATAAAAGTCAAGATTCCTGGCTTCAGGGAAGTTACAATATAGAAAGGGTGATTATGTAAGTGATCTGCGGCAATGTCTGTAAGAAGGTTCAAGGACAAAGTGTGAGTTTCAGAGAACCGCGATCGGAGTTGGCTTTGTAGCAGAGTAAGCATTTGACGGAATAATTCTCATCACTGCATCAATGTGGCACTGTTTTTTTTTGGGGGGGGGTTGAGGGGGGAGGAGGAGCAGGGCGGAAATTGGGTTTTTGAGCCACACCCATTGGTGCTCAGGAGTGACCTCTGGTGGTGCTGGGGATTGAACCAGGGTACTTCCGGGTGCTAGGCAAGTGAGTGCAGTACCTCTCACTCTGTCTTTCTGACCCACCACCCTACCCTAAATTATTTGTAGCCATGTTGGCAGTTTTTTTTTTAAAGCTTAACATAATGGTTACACCTCATTTTGTTTTTGTTCTTTTTTTCCAAAGTAATTGGCATAATATGCCAATATGCCAAATACCAGTAACAATGAAGGGTCTCATTCTCCTAACTCTGAAAGAGCCTTGAATATGGCACTTTTTAAAAAAAATCTCAGGGCTAGGACGAAGGAGACGTTACTGGGGCCTGCTCGAGGCAATCGACAAATAACAGGATGGTTGTGATTGTGATTGTGAATTGGCATAAAACTATAACTAACCAATAATAATTTGGCATAAACTCGTGATGGTTATACAGTGAAATATAGTAGCTTTAGATTAAGATTTTCAAAAATAGCCAGTGTTTCGCCAGAGAGAGGGGAAAAGACAGTCGCACCTCCAGAGAGGGGGCTTGTACCTATGCAGGCCACAAGCTGGTGGATAAAGATTTTTTTTTTCTCTCACCCAGACAGTCCTCACACACTTCTCCTCTGGATTCTCTGCTGGCTGGTCCCCAATATCAAGAACTCAGGTCATTTAAAAAAAATTAATGGGACAAAGGCTTGGAGATGTGAACACCAGGTTTATTCAAGCTCAGGAATCACTCCTAGTGGGCTCAGGGCACCGTATGGGATGCCAGGGATTGAACTTGGGTCAGTCGAGTGCAAGGCAAATGCCCTCCCCACTGTATTATCTCCTTGACCCCCTTTTCAGCTTTCTTGAGTGCCAGTGAATCACAGAAGCCAGGGAATGGGGCCCAGAGAAATTCCATCACTAATGATGTTTGCTTCAGCAGAACAAATACAGAAACCATCAGATAAGAATCAAAAAGTATGGAACTCTAAGCACCACTAGTTTTTCCTGAGTGCAGAGCCTGGAGTAACCCCTGAGCACTGCAAGGGGCCCAAGAACTACCCCCATCCCCACTAAACAAAAACAACACAACAATGAGAGGGACGGAATGGGAGATGTGTGTATCTGTGAGCAGAGCTAGGAATTAGGGACCACTTGGCCCAGTGCATGAATTCCCACCAAACCTGGCCTAGAAACTCGTCTGGAAACCTTCTCTCAGGTCCTTAAGGGCAAACGGTTGCAGTTCCCTGACCTGGAGCCGGGTGTGTTCTGGGAAATCAGTAAGCTAGATCTGAGGTCTTCAACCTCTCCTCCATGAGCCTATCCCTGGTGCAGAATTTGAAAACCACTGGTTACCGTCCTCATTACACCCACTGCTCTGTGGACGATGCACAGGTGCTGGCCTGCAGGTGTGAGAAGGTTGAAGAAAGCTGAACTAGAGAGAAAAGGCCTGATATCAGGGTGAATCCTAAAGATGGGGGCTCGGTTACCCAAAAGAGTGTATGTAGAAGATTCCAGGTGAATTGTTCCAAATTAGTCGTGCTTCCTTCCTAGTAGGTCACATTTCCTGCTAACCTGGGGCCACATCCAGTTCCAAACTCCTTCCTGGTTTTTATTTGCTAAAGCTACCTGGACCGTACGTAAGCAATCTCTCAGACTCTGCTCCAAATGCTCCCAAGCTGAAGATTTCCCAGCTTCTGAGATGAAAGATTTCTTTCTCTACAGTCCCACGTCCCAATTCCCCCTACCCCACTTCCCCCACCCCACCCCCATCATGCCACACCTACTCCTCCCTCCCTGCTCCAGGCTCCTGGGTACCATCTACTGAGAACACTTGATTCTCCCAGAGACTGGCCTTCCACTTGGTCTTCTCAATGACTTAACCTCTTACCGGGACACAGCAATGCTGTATAACTCACAAGCTGTTGACAAAAGATTCAGGTCTAGTAGAGATGCTCTCTGTGAAGCGCTGAGATTCATTTTGCCATAAGCCAGACTTGGAGATGGTGAAGCCAGGAGTGAAAATTAACTGCCTGTTGGCAAGATGAAGGTGAGACCAGTCTGTAATGTGGCAAGGAGACCAGTCCCCCTCTGTTCACCCTTGTCCTACTTCTGACTCTCCTTTCTGGAGCCTTCTTATCTGGGATTTGATCCTTCCAGTTATAAGCCCTTCAAGTCTTTCAGAGAGGAAGGAGCAAACCCCGTGCATTTCAGAGTACTCTACGTTTAGACGACTTATCGCAAATGTTTTAACAGACTCAAGGAATCATATTAGCTTTAAGTGGTAAAGCAATGCTATTCTTTGCTTAGTCAGCAGTGAAAGTTAGGCTCAAGATATATAATATGAAAAGATCCTGTGGGAGGTGCTAGTGGGTGTTGTGTCATAGATATTTGTCTTATTCCCTGTACTATCTCTGCAGCCCCTGACTTCTTTTGGGGACTAAAAGTTTGTGACTCCTCAACCCCTTTATTCAGGCTGCCCACCTTATGGCCCTATTGCCCTAAGACTCTGACATCCATAATCTGGTCTGTACCAATAAGCCTCTTGCTCTTCTTAAATAAATAAATGTTATATCACATATATATGATGCAATCATATATTCATATAATTATATGTTATATATATTTTTGGCTTTATTTTGGGTCATATCTGGTGTTTCTCAGGGGTTTCTCCTAGCTCTGCACTCAGAAATTACTTCTGAAGGTACTCGAGGGACCATATGTGATGTGGGGGATTGAACCTGGGTCTGCTTCACGCAAGGCAAATGTCCTACCTGCTGTACTCTGCTCTGGCCCCGAAAATTTTTTTAAACTTGTGTATTATTTTCATACTATGTTATTAATTAATTTATTTGCTTTTTTGGGTCACACCCGGCGATGCACAGGGGTTACTCCTGGCTCTGCACTCAGGAATTACTCCTGGCAGTGCTCGGGGGACCATATGGGATGCTGGGTTGGGTTGGCCGTGTGCAAGGAAAACTCCCTACCCACTGTGCTATCTCTCCAGCCCCTATGTCTGTATATATATATATATATATATATATATATATATATCCTGCAAATGAGTGCAATAATTCAATGTCTGTCCCTCTTCCTCTGACTCACTTCACTCAGCATGATACTGTCCATGTCCATCCATGAAATCTCATTACTTAATTTTCCCTAATGACTGCACAGTAACCTGCAGTGTAGATATATCATATTATCTTTATCCAATCATTTGCTCTCGGGCACTTGAGAGGCAGGCTGCAGGGGTTGGGGGTGGAGGTGGGAGGGAACCCGGGGACACTGGAGGCCGGAAGTGTACATTGATGAAGGGTTGGGGGTTGGAACACTATGACTGAAATACAATCACCAACAACTTTATATCTCAGGGTGATTCAATTAAATATATATATATATATATATATATATATTTTCAGATTCCATATGTCAGGGTCATAGGATACTTGTTTTAGTCTGGCTTAGCCTAATGACCTCAAGGCTTACCCATGCTATTACTAATGGCAAGCTCTCCTTTTTCCTCATGGTTGAATAGTATTCAGTTGTGTATATAATTATCAACATAATTAATCAATATAAGGTGCTGCCCAGAGACGCAGGTAGGTGTGTGTTTGTTAAGTTTGTCAGTGTGGAGATCATTACAACATGCCAGTCGACCAAAAGCTTGCATTCAGTAGACTGGGAACACCTGTAAAGGTGATTCAAGACTGCCCCAAAAGCCTCTGTCCCTCTCAGAGAGCTTGGCAAGCTACCGAGAGTATCCCGCCTGCACAGCAGAGCCTGGCAAGCTACCTGTGGT